CTCAGCAACCGCGAGAGCTAGAAGGCTGAAATTTTGTGGACATGTCCCCTCCCCACATACGACCCAGGAAACTTAAATTTAGCCTTCTCTTCTCCACGGGTAACACGAACGACTCCGTAAAAATTTTGACCGGTAAATTATCTCGCGGACCACAAAATCCACGAAGCTAAAATTTATGGTAATGACCCCTTGTCCAAGCACCACTTTGCAAGCTCAAATTCGGCGTTCCCGCGCTCTCGGGTATCAGTTGCGATCCCTTGGGAGTTTTGGCGAGTAAATTATTATCTCAGAGACCGTAAAAGCCAAGAAGCTGCAGTTTTGCGGTTGTGCCGGTGCGTGAGATTTTATGTGACGGGCGTAAAATTTTTGACTATTTTTGCACTGACTAAAGTACAAAATAATGAAAATCATTAACAAGCAATCGTTTGGTGGACGAATTGCAGAAAACGCATGATCGCATCGGCTAGTCTGGTGCGCGTTGCTATTTATTAGTTTTAGTATTTTTAAATATTCTTAACTGCCTCATTTCATTTCTCATCAAACGAAAAACATGAGAGCTTGCATTTTTTTTTTTTTTTTCAGATCAAATGGCATCCTCAATTTTGGCTACATTATGTTCCAGTTGCTGGTGGAGACGATCTATTCGGCCTCATTGCGCAAATACATCTGGCAGCGCGACTGTGGTACTGTGATGTTGAAGGTGTGAAATCATGAGACGTTTTGTTGTGTTGTGCAGTCCGTACATCCATCCATCCGTCCTGCCCTTCTTATACGTTCACTGATTCAAAAGGTTTTTCCATTTTCTGTCCTTTTTATGGATATGTTTGAGGAAAAAAAACACACACACACACACGCGCACACACATACACACACCGCAACCCATTTTTGTTCAAAAACACCATTATGTAATTGTTCTGTTGTGGTAGTAGTGGTCGTGATATTGCAGTAATTGATATTAGGGTAGCTTTTGCATGCCCCCAACTATCCTCAGTTCACGCATTTCATTCCTAACAAATTTCAGCTATTTCGTTTCATCGCAGTCATCACAATTTGCTGGATTATATTTTGTAGCCAGGTACTGCCGCATGGTACCAGAATGCACAACAGATTCTGTTCTTCGAATGCTACAAATAACAGTAGCACAGAATTGGTACCTGATCCTGTGCGTCAGTATGCCGTGGAAAACAATTTGGTACTTCCCGATGATCTCAAGAAACCGAGCTGGTGCAAGTAAGTTTGGAAATATTCCACAGCTACGACTGGTACTGTGAAGAAATCTAGATTCAAAACTTTCTTCATTTTCGTTCTCTTTGAAAAGCGAAGGTTCTCGAAAATAGCCGAAGAGACAGTATTCTTTTACCCGCAGTTGCCAACTGGCAAAATTACAGATAGTGTTCTTCATCTCACTCAATCTTTATCGTTAAAGACCGGACTATTTCTTCTTTCGCATATCCATCTTGCAAATTAGTTACATGGCTATTCAAAGCATGACGGGTAGGAGGCTCCTTTTCCAGGTACTGTTTGGGTGGAAAACTTAAGGCAAATTTTCTGAGGTGC